TTATTTTACTCTATTGTGACTCTAATTAAATTAATATAATATACTATTAATTTGTAATAACATAACATTTCTAGTATATTATACTGTATTCACTGAATTGCTTAAATGTTTTAAATATTAATAAATACATTTATTATAATAAAATGAATAAATATTAAATGATTAATTTTATTACCAAAAATATTACATTAAGAATAGAATGCTGTATTATATTATATTATATTATATTATATTATATTAGTTTAGTTTAGTTTAGATACAACTCAGATAAAAACTACTGAATTTCTACATATTATTTTGCTAAATGTATAATAAAAATAGCTGTAAATCTATCAACTTTATTGTAAAACAAAAACGCAGTGATGGTGTTACAAGCATTACTTACAGAATACATTATTCATTTAATAAAAACAAGACAAAATTGACTTTTTACATAGAATATACTATTCCCAAATAGTATAACGTAATTTATACACTTCTACTTCTACTATACACACAGGATTGCCTTTGAATATAAGTCGTCGTCTCTGTCAATAATTAAGTAATTCATACTGCTGTTTAAAAAAATGAGAATATTTTATAGTAGAAAAGGTACCAGACACATTAAATATAATTCTTTACTGTCCAAAGTAGGGTAACTAAATATTAACATTTTCCTAGTACAATTACTGACATTGTTTAATGTATAATACTGTTACTTAATTATTATTACCTTACTATTATTCATATACTAACACAACTGAATTATTTCACTATTATTACTCTACTACTATACTATTCCTGTGCATAAATTATTATTACTTTACTATTATTACTTTTCTAATATGACTAAATTATTACTCTACAAATACTACTCTTCTAATATGCCTAAATGATTATGATTCTACTATTATTGCTGTACTAATGTCCAGTGATCTGAATGAAGACGCGGCTCACTCTCACCGGTGGTCATCTGGATCCATGTGGAGCAGAGAGAGATGAACAGGAGGATCGTCTCTCCAGCTGCAGCGGATATGAGAGCGGTAGTCATTACGGCACGCCAAAGACTCCAGAGCAGAGGATTCTGGGAACAGAAGATGTAGAAAAAGCTAGAAACACCTAATGATACTGAAACACAGAGTAAAAGAACCCTAACCTGGAGCAAACGTGTCAAGCTGAGGACATCCTGCGAGGACTGATGTCCACAGTACAGTCAGAGTCGAGGAGAGAGAGATGTTTGGACGCATGGAGAAAACTGACTGAACAACAGCAGGCCAAGAGGAAGGTTCTGATAATCCCTAACAAACGAGAATAATAATTAGATGAGTCAGAAACATCAGTTGAGCTTACCGTCAAAGCGCTTGTTCTTCACTGCTGTGATGAAGCCCAGGCTCTGCCGCTCACACTGACATCCTCAAGTGTTATGAACTTGTGTGTGCCTGTGCCAGCTTGACCGCAAATGTGTTTACTCTCTAAAAGGTTCAAAACTGCTTTGTTTGCAGATTTCAATGTGCCATATGATTCCTTCCCCTAAATTAGAAAGTAAAACTGCATTTAAAAAAAAACAATCTCAATATGCCAGTCTAATAATCTATTATAACTCATATACTAACACCTATATTATTATATCATATTATTGCAAATTCTGTATATCATATTTTAGATTCTATTTTTTATTAATTAAAAAAAACTTTAATATTTAATGTTTCAAAAACACTGAAATAATAAATTAACAGAAAAGACTATTATTAATTTAATTGCTTACATTTGTAAATAGTTTAATTATTAATTAATCATTGTGTTAAATTGTTAAGTATTACATATATACTTATATATTAAATTATAAATTATTCATTACATTACATTACTATTTGAATACATAATACATTTTATTTTCTATTCTGTTTTTAATTTAATATTTAACATTTGAAAAAAAAATTAAATGATATATTGAATTATTATTTTAATTGCTTAAATGTTTTAAATATTAGAACAAATAAATATTAAATTATTATTTTTAATTTTATTTTTATTGCATTACTAATTTAATAAATAACATAATATAATATAAATCTTATTTTCTATACTATGGATAATTTAATTAATTTTTATGTTTTACATAAAATCTAATTCTACTTAAAAAGAAATGTAAAGACTATCATTATTATTAATTGATTAAATGTTTTAAATATTAATATTATTAAATATTAAAATATATCAATAATTTATAATATAATATCTTATTTTCTATTCTATTCTTAATTTAATAGATGTAAAATTTTAATATGAAATTATAATAAAAACTAAAATAAATTAAAATATTAAAAATAATAAATTAAAAATAAATAAATATTAAAATAAATGAAAAAACATACTGAAACATTAATAGTACATTACATACTATTATTAATTAATTGCTTAAATGTTTTAAACAT